GAGCAGGTCTGTGGACCAGGACCAGGAGCAGGACCAGGTCTGTGGACCAGGACCAGGAGCAGGAGCAGGGACACACGTCAGGCACAAAGTGACACAAAGCTTTGTGTGTTCGTGCAGCGCCAGGAGACGTGTTTGAAACAGAGTTCAAAGATCCGCAGGAAGCAGAGCTGCAGACTGCTCCTCTGAGCCACAACAGAACCGTGTGGGTCGAACCAGAACCGTGTGGGTCGAACCAGAACCGTGTGGGTCGAAGGAGGAACGCCTCTGACTTTTTATGACCGGAAAGTTGCGCAAACACTCCGCGGACTTTCTGAACTCGCGCGCAGCTCTGACAGTTTTTGTTTAGTGGTCCGGCTGCATGTTTACACCTAAACTCAGAGATTAAAGTTCTGAAGAGCTGTCAGAACCAGAACCAGAACCAAGGCGCACACCGAGCCTACCTCTTGCAGATAACCCGTCAGATGCAACAAGATGGCCATGCTGGAAGCCACCTGAAGCAGTCCCATTACAGCCAGGGTCCCGATCAACAGCGACCGGGACGAGGGCTCTGAGGCCGGTACCGGCTGGTGGAAGCGGTGCTGACCCGCCTCCATGTCCACTGGGTTCCGAAGGTAGGTTCTGTACTCGTGCGTAGCTGCCATGGCGTGCCGTTCAGCCGGGACCAGGTTCCAGACTCAATGCGAGGAAGGAAACCGAGTCCGCGGAGTCCCAGTCTGTGATCTGCGGTGGGCGGGCTGACGGAGAGCTCAGCCAATCACAGGACAGCCGCCGGATCAAAGGAAAAACCGCGAACCTGAGCGACCTGAGCGCGCGGCAGGTGAAGACCTCCCGGACCGTCTGGTCCACATCCTCCCGGTGACAGCCTGTCACTTCCGGTGTTGTAAGAAACCCAGTTCCCCTGTGAAAACCTGTCCCTCCTACTGGGAGGACTGGACCAGTGATTCTCTCTAAGGTTAACCAGTAGGGGGAAGATTTCCCCATCATACAACACTGGCAGTGAATGGGTTAAAACCAGTAACTGGACACAAAACTCAAAATAAACTCTCATAAATAAATTAATAAATTTAATGAAAACAAATGAACATTTTAACAATCTAAAGATTAATTAACAGCTCATTTAAAGTTCACAGAAATATGTAAGACATTTAACATTTACACACACACACNCAGTCCACCCTGGGGTTAGGTGTAATGCAAAGTGGTTGAACTCAGAGTGGTGTGAGGGGTGGGGGTTGGGAGTCCATGATTTCAAACCATGAATAGAAGTCATTCAGGTCATTAGCAAGTTTAAGATTGCCTGTAGAGAGAGTGAGTTCTCTGGGCCTCTCGGCCCCCTCCATACAATGGCAGAGTTTTTTGCAGATAACTGCTGCTCCAGACATGTATTGAGTACCTGGAGCCTTCGACACTGCCCTGCTAAATCC